CTTCCTATCTTTCAATGGTTAACCTTACCTTCATTTGAAGCTTACTCTACTAGTATAAAATTTACAAACATTTTGTTTTGCTTTTTTGGGAAATTTCTTTAACCTGTCTCAAACCAAAAGTTTCTACCAAGGGAATTTCAAAACTCTGGTGTAATTAAAATAGTTATCACGATATGCACAAATGATTACCAAACAAGACATGGGGACTACCCAAGTCTTAAATTCCTGTCTTTCAGGCCCTCCCTGGTGGTGCAGTGGGTTAAAGCACAGCACTAAGAAGCTAAAGCCACTTCAGCATGAGTTCTATCCCTGACCGGGAGGTGATCCACATGATGCGGCAGACCTCTCCTGACCCGCCCGCTGCTCCCCTCAGCAGTGTACTTCGTCGATCTGCCTGTTCTTCTCCCCACTCTGTCTCTGGTGAATCATTTCACCGCCTGAATCTATGGCCTGTCCCCCAGTTATGTATAAATAAATAAAACTTTAAAAAAAAAAGTTCTGTCTTTCGCAAGAGCAATCTATTCTCATTTTTCCAAACCAGTATGTTTGTGTCTCTAATTATATTCACCTTCAAAACAAGTATTTCTCACCTTGTTCTCCAACTAACAACAAACAGACTAACGAAAGAGCAAACCCTAATATAATGTCTCCAGGTGCAATTTTTCAGGAAAAAGCCTGTGTTTTTCTACAGGAAGCATTAAAAAAAATTGTTGGCCTAGGATGCCTTATCAGAAATTTTTCTAGGGAGCCTGCAACCTCACCTCTCTTAGCTCACAGGGAATTTTTTTTTAAAAGTTATTTGAGTTGGAAAATTAAAACCCATGACCCTAAATTTGTGTTTCTCATGTTCCAGAATCTGCCAGGCTCACAACAAATGCAGTCTGGGAACTCTTGCTCTTGTGCCAATTTTCCTCATTCCAGGAAATGGAACCCTGGGAATGTACTTTGTTCTAGTTCCTCATTTGCAACTATTACCCAGTGTTTTGGTTCCACTTCCAAAAGATTTCTGAAATTCACATCCTCTTCTTTCCACTCTGGTGCAAGCCAACTGTGTTCTAGATTACCACAAAGCATCTTGATGGGGCTGAGTGTTCTCCAAACTTCCTCTTCCCAATACATTCTGTAAGGGTGATCTTTTTGTCAGAGTACATTGCACACCATACCCCAACTTCACAGAGTTTAGGGGCTTCCATATGCATTCAAAACATTACCCCTCCTTCTCCTTACAAGGCCATATGTGACCTGGCTGAGGCTCAAGCCCTGCAGCCCACAGGCTCTCTGTCTCCTCCTTACTAGCACTACACCACTTCCTGCCCCAAGAACTCAACACAGGCTTCTTGTACTAACAGTTCTTCCCAAGCTCTTGGCCTAGGCGGTCGCTTCTCATTTTTTATGTCCAACTTAAAATAATTTTCTTGGGTACACCTCCCCACTCAATGTCAAATCTCCATGTGTCACTATGCCCCTGGCCCTATTTGATCCTACTCCTTTTGCATCTCAGCATCTATTACAATGTGTAATTATCACCTAATTGACTGTGCTCACTGCCTGTCTCAGAACCCAGCTGTTGCTTTGTTTGTCCTAAGTGTTCGACAAACACACACACACACACACACACACACACAAATCACAAAATTCATTTGTTGAATAAATGAAGAGAATGAGGGCTGTCCAACTGGCTGGTGTTATCCAACAGAAAAGTGGCTACCTTTCACTTGATCTGATGAACCTAATGATATATTACCTCCTCAGACATCAGATGAGAAGATTCAAATTCAAAACCCCGAATTCAGCACTAACGTGATCATTAGTCTCAGCTGCATGGAAAATAGGATGGAATAAATTAAAATAAATAAATAAATAAATAAGCCACAGGCATCATACACTTGAGTTGGGGTAGATGAAGCATTATTGATGGGAGAGATTTGAACTGGACCTTGAAGGAATTCAGGTTCACAGGTAAGGAAGGAAAAACATCATTTGCTTTGCCAGAAAAGCAAATGGATGAAGGAAGGAAAAAGAAAAGCCACAGAAGAGCAGACACTGTCATCTGAGTTCTGTGAACTGCCTTCAAGTTGGCAGTGAGGGCGATTCTTAAAGGAGACCATTGAGATTTGGGTTTGATTCTTGACAACAGAATTCGTTAACAGTTGCAGAACAGTCTTTGTGTTTCAAAAACCAACTTAAAAATTCAAATGTACAATTTATGTTTTTGGCCAAGAATTTTTCACCTCAGATTTTAACTCAAAGAGAAAAAGTTGAATGCTCAAATGAAAGGTGTAAGAACCCAAGAGAGAAAAAAGAACAACCCTGGATGGACACATGGAAGAGACAGAGCCACACGCAGTGGGTAAGGCAGGTCCCAAACGTGACTAAGCAAAGGTGTTGGGGAAATGCCAGTGAGCTCACCATGCTCTGTGGGGATGCTTGTGCAGAAAGCACTGAAGACAGGGTGGCTGCTCAACCTGTCACAGGTTGACTTCAAGTCATTATAAATTGATAAAATTCAAGTAAACAATTTCAATTAGGAAATATGTTAACTCACATTCAAATCAACACAATTGCCTCATTTCTGGTTTAGAAACACTTGGGGAATGTAAAAGAAAAACCTGTGTCTCTTCACCCAAATCAATATGAAGTCATCTTGTTTATGCACAACTTTTTACAGGGCTTTAATTCTCACTAATCTTTTTTGATTTTTAATTGCAGCCTTTCTCCCAGGGCCTTCTGCCTCTGGAACAGTGCTTTGGGGAGCAAAGGTGTCAGCAATATCTCATTCTATTTTGAGCTCGGGGAGGAACACATGTAATACAAGTAGGAAAAAGGAAAAGGAAATAAATGAAACGTCTATTGCAATCTACTTAGGCATACTTGGCACCGTGTCTTCAATGAACCAGTAATTAAGCTGAACACGCCACATTAAATAAATCCACCTGAAAGGCTGAGAGACCGGGACCGCTGCAGTGCGGACCGGAATCTGTCCATAGAGAACCCACACATGGTGTCTACAGGCTTCTTTGCTAAGGCAATAAAGAATGAAATCGAATGAAACAGAAACAAAGGACCGTTTGACATGGAAGATGAGGTGTCCTACAAATGTCCTACAAGTGATAAAGGCATTAATTACTTGAAGTCATAACTACCTCATACTGTAAACAGAGCATTCATTTTATCTTAAATGAAGTGGACCCCCGGGAGCTTAGAAATTCCTCATACAAAGTTCCCATGCCTTTCAGCCATGAAGCTCACATATGTGTGAAGGGCTGTATATTAGCTGACTCCCACAAAGAATTGTCTTTCAAGTTCAGGTATTAATACTGGCTGCTGAGGCTTGTTTTTCTCTTTCTGGTGTTTATACCCTTTTTTATTTTATTAATAATTTGCATAAATCTCTGAAAATCTCCTAGTTCCTGCAGAAACTTCAAACTGAATTTTGGGAATATAGAATACTGAAAAGGGCACAGGGCTATCCACAGGGTCTGCCTCGTAAGGGCCAAAGCTGGATTCTGGAAACTAGAAGGACCACACAGGGAAAAGGTGTGAGTGCCATGGGCTGAGGAGCTACCTGGTTTGATCAAACTACTTAACAAAAACTACGTACAAAAGCGAAATGTTCGATAGTGGGCAAGGAAGGGCAAACACTATCAGAAATGAATGAGTTTGGTCTGCAGAAACATGAACTTTGTGGTTCAAGCCAAACTCTCAGATGTCAGCAGTTCCATAGCTGTATGGGGCGCTTAACAATTACCCCCCCGCCCCCCAGGAGGGAACTTCCTTTGAGAGTATAAAATAACAGCAGGCACATGAATCCTTCTGAGGCAGGAATCAAGGGGTTCTGGTGGGGACCCCAGTGATCAAGAAGTCCTGGGGGTAGTGGAGAGTTGAGCTAAGTTCTTGTGTGACTTTCTGTATAATGTACATATCATATGTCAGCGTTCCCCAACTCCAGCAAATGGTCCTCTAAGCCAAAAGAAACAAACAAAATATTCCAGGCTGCGTGTTCTCAGAGTCTAAAGTAGTGAACCAAAACCAGTTAAAAGGAAGTTGAATCTGTTCTGGGAAGGACAGACTGACTTTGAGATCAATGCCAATGATGACCTCAGGCAGAAGAGCGATCAAACCATCAGTTCCTTGTGGAACTCCCTTCTGGAATTGTCTGCAGCTGAGAGGCTTATGGACAACAGCCAACTGTTTGGAGGTTCAACATTTCCTAGGGTGAAAACCCCAAGACTGGAGTCCCAGCACCTCACTTGGTACTTACATTTCTTGTAAAGTCTGAAATCATGCTTTGAAGGTGCTCAGGATAGTTTCCCAAGATGGCTATTAGCAGGTAATTCTCTGAGGGGACCCAGCACTGTCACTACCAGAGAAATTGTGAAGGTGAAGTCTACTCATCCATGGTTGGGGAACAGCTGTTTGAGAAAGGTCATTTGTGGGGAACCAAGGTAAAGATAGGGAAGACAATAAAATCCCAAAATGAAAACAAAGAAGGCAGCTATCACCTGCCATTAATTATACACCTATCAGAAATGAGGAAAGTCTTTACAAATGGTCTTTCTACTCAATACCCAATTTCAAGTTAGATGGGGTAGAGACACAATTTTTTATTGACCATCACCCAAGTAAAAGAAATTCTAAAAGCTTCTCTCTCTCTCTCTCTTTTTTTGCCTGGACTCACTCAGTTTAACAAGTAACTTTAGTTCCCCAATCTTATCTCATTATTTTATTTTTGTACCCCTCAATATACTAACATTAAATGTTGTGGGATCATTTTAAAATTAAACTTTTATTTGCATTAGTGTTACTTCATTTTGATTCTCAAAACATAGTCAACAGTTAAAGCACAGAGTTACGGAAACCTACAAGTGCATGCTTCTCAGTTTTATACCATGGCACCGGACAAAAATCACAGAGGAAAAGTTCATTTTCAGGGCTCTACATTTTTGCCTTTGAAGCATAAAAATGTAAGCTGAGCTGGAAACACAACTTCAGGTACTTACTGATTCCTTGAAAGAGCTCTTCGATGTTAATAGCATTTTTTGCACTTGTTTCAACCACCACAGCGCCTATGGACTCCGCATATTCCTTAGCATCCTTCAAGGGAACCTCCCTGCAAAAAAGGCCAAACCCAGGCAGAAATGAATTATGGTTTGTAAAATATAAATAACCCCAAGAAACACACACACACACACAGCTCTCAAGCTGGCCACAGCTGCATCAGTGCCAGTTCGATCCCCGCCCTGGAGGTGATCCACATGGCGCGGCAGACCTCTCCTTGCAGGCTTGCTCGGTGCTCTCCTCAGTAGTGTACTTCGTTGATCTGCCTGTTCTGCTGCCCACTCTGTCTCTGGTAAATCCTCTCACCCTGAGCCTCTGGCCTGTACCCCAGTTCTGCATGCATAAACAAATCTTTTTAAAAAAAAAAAAGCTTATGTGGAAGCATCTCCTTTATTTTCCCATAGAAAAACAACTACCCTGGGTGACACTCTCAAAGTGTAAACCACGGATGTCCTCTGGCATCCATGGATACAAGACATGCAAATATAAGAGAGTGCCCCAGTCTGCAGAAAGAAAGACTTCCAGGACAGTGGGAAAAGTCATGTTGAGTATTACAGTATACATTCCAGTATTCAAAGTTAGGGTTGATTTCAACTTTTTCAATTCTATTAAAATGAATAATTTCTAAAGATACTTATTAACCAATTTTAAATTAAAAAGTTGTGGAGGATATATTTAAAAAAAAAAAGATACCATTCCTACTCTCTGGGAGTGTATTAATTCATTCAACAAATTCTTATTGAGTAGTTACTGTATGCCTGTCCTTGTAGGTGCCTGAGAAAATGCTGTCCCTGTCTTTGGAATCTACATTTGAGAACACAAAGGAACACATCCACAATCCCTTCACCCACGAAACTATTAACATCAGCCATATGTGGGGAATAAAGGCATCATAAAGTGCTCAGGAACAGAGATGGGTAGAAAGTGATGCATTTGATCAAGGGAAGATCCTGGAAATGTCAGCTAAGTGTGGCAGGAAGGCTAGGAAGGACCCCGATGACATGTCCTCAACAGCCTGACCATCATACCCAGCTACCATTAGGGGTCAGTTTCGCACAACACTGCCTTGGGTGTGACACGGACAGGCAGGTGAATGGCAGGTGTCTGCCTGGGGAGGAGGTCAGAGACCAGTTGAGAGCAGGAGGGAGAGCAGGAACAAGGCGAGTGGCAGGAGGGCACCCAGGGGCCACACAACAGGAGAGAAACAGTGCACAAAATGAGTTAAGAGTGGGGGAGCGAGGAGAAGAATTTGGCAGCTCCCCCAGGGCTGTGGGCAGGAGATAATATGAAGCTGGCTCAAAGGAAGGCTAGAGAAGAGAAAATGTGGTGGCCAGAAAATCGAAAGTTGGGAAGACGGTGAAGGTTGTATTCACCTCTCACCAGCTTGTCTCCTCTCCCCCCTCCAAATACCTCATAAATGGTTTCAAGAGGTGTATAAAGTTACTAGGAAAATTCTAGTTTGGCAATATGAACACATTAATGGGAAAGAGCCTGGGTGGAGTCTACCATATTAAGGAAGGTTATCACAGGCTTGGACTAGAGAATAAGCCTCCCGCACCATGTCAGATGAACTCTGTCCTTTCATGATTTTTCTTAAGATATATTGGGGAAAATCTATGCTCAGGATTCTTCCCTCTTTACTGCTCTGTAAAGGGCCTCCCTAGATACTAAAAAAATAGAAAAGGGCTTTTTTGGGTGGCAATGAAATTTACATTTGAAACATTCCAGAAAAGGACCCGTATAAGTTCAGTTTGCCCTACTACCCTATTTTTTATATTTTCCTGGCAGTCTTTATCAAACCACAAACAGAAGGGTGTTGGGGGGGGGGCTCATCTCTGCCCAAATATGGGGCAGATAAGACAGGCTGTGGCCTGCTAATCTCTACCTGGGGGTGGAGGCGCAGGTGGCAATCAAGGAAACTCCTCAGGGACTCCTCAATTGAAAGAAGGTCACACATACAGACAGCGCTCCTTAGTTCTCTCTCCTTAGCCCCATCGTGGGACAAGGGGACAGGGGAGTAGAAAGGAGTGGCCAGACTAAGGCAAGAACAAAATTACTGCAACATAATCTAAATACCCATCCTGAGGAGAAACGTGAAGAGGAGCTACTTATCTCCGTCTACCATGCTGGACCTTAAAATGGAGAGATAGGAAAAGTGGATCTCTAGTCCTCTTGTTTAATAAGTGACTTGCCGATGATGGACACAGTGAATCAGGAATGGGGACAGGGCCTAAACTCCAGGCCCTCACAACACAACCACCCAATTGGTGCCCAGAAGCAATGCTTCCCATCTTTACAAGGTATATGTGGGGTTCAAGGTTCAAAGCATCCTCTTATTGGCTATCAGCTGCCTTGGAGTCATGGCGGAGGCAGAAAGCAGCATCTCCTATCATAAAGAACAGGTTTTCAGCCTGAGAGGCTGGAGGGACTGTGAAATGCCCTCTAATATGAACTGGGATTAGAAGGACCAGTCAGTTACTCTCTGCTTGACAATATGTTCCTACTGCTGCGGTGTAAGAGAAATATGTACTTGATATTTTCCCTGGCTCAGGGCTCTTAATCATGAATTTTCTGAATGATGGGTGTGCGCTTTGTATTCACAGAGCCCCATACTTACATTTCTAATGGGGCCTCTAGAAAGATTCAGAATTAGAGCTGTGCCAGAGGAAGCTAACCACGTGATCGGAGAGATGGACTGTTCAGTCCTGCTCTCCAGCCTTGAGGAGGGGAGGGAAGCAGGAGATGTGGTCAGTCGTGACTAAGTGAGCCTCAATAAACGACCCTTGGGTGCAAGGCTTAGAGAGCTTTGGGTTGATGAACAGAAGGAGGTGCCGGGTGGTGACGTGCCCACAGACCTTGCATGCCACCCAGACCTTCCCCTAGGCACTGTTTCCATTTCCTTCATCGGAGTTGTGACCTTCACAGGCACACTGTAATCATTCACACAGCGCTTGCCTGAGTTCTGATGTTCCAAGGAATTATCAAACCTGGGGGAGGGGCAGCGTGAGTTCCTCTAAACATGTGGCCTGCTTGTGGGTAACTTGGAGATACCCACGACTTGTAGCTGGCATCTGAGAGGTAGAGAGTAGCCTCATGGGGTAGAGGCCTTCATTGTGGGATCTGTGTCAAAATGAATGGAATCGCCGGACATCCAGTTGGTGTCAGAAGCTTGCTATTGGGACCAAATGTGTAACTCCAATTACAGATCAGAATTTACTTAGGATTCTCTTGCAAATAATGTAAAATAGCGGCCTTTAGGAAGTCCAGCTGCACTTCAGGGAGACCCATTGCAGGAAACCCGGGGGGCTGGTGCCTGACATCACACCCTTCTATAGTTATGACTAGCGAGACTGTGGCATCCAATGACTTGTGCTCATTTTTTTCAACAAATGCTTAGCAAGAGTCTGCCATATGCCAGGCACAGTGAAAGATATTGGTGCTGGTTCACCCAAGCCAAGTTGTAAGCACACAGCTAGTCCATTTTGATGGGAAAGAATATATTTAGACTTTCTAGGCTACGATGATAGATAGTCAGTATACCCAGAAATCTCCCAGAAGAATCACTGCAAACCAGCTGGACCATGTAGTCTTGGAGTTTTGACCCTCTGCAACAGTTGCCCGTTCAGGAGTGGGTTCAGGAGTGGGTTCTACTCTGCCTGACCCTGCCATGGCAGCATAAGTCACCCAGGCTTCTTTCTTGAATATTTGAAGTTTTCACCCAGCTCAGAGCAGCAGCTGCCAGTCAGCTAGGGCAGGAGGAGGGTCAGCATGGAAAATGGGATTCTGAACCGGGCTGGGTTCCCTCCAGAGCCAACAGGAGAAATAGGAGAGCTGGAGACAATAGGCGGCTCCAGTTCCCTCAGCAGAGAAGTAGTGAATTTAAAGCTCATCGAAAAGGCCATATTCAGGGTCAGGGGCAAGAGTTGAATGGTTTTACTGTGGTCTTCTGCTGCACCCAGTGGAGAGTCCCCACCTCCCAGTGGGTGCTTTTGTTCCTCCTTGACCTTCTTCCCTGACGATCCTTTGTAATCTCTAACACGACAGTGTCACGCTGTCACGCTGTCTTCTGAAATAGGCTGTAGATTTCTTAAGATGAGGGCCATGGATTTTGTTTTAGTGCACTAGGGTCCTAACATGTTGTGCTTGGCACCCAAGGAGCAACCAGAAGTATCTGTTAAATGATTAAATGACAGGGCCCTTCCTGGTGGTGCAACAGGTTAAAGTGCAGCACTGCGAAGCTGACAGCCGCATCAGTGTGGGTTCTACATGGCACAGCAGATCTCTCCTGTCTTGCCTACTGCTCCCCTCAGCAGTGTACTTCGTCAATCTGCCCCCCCGCTCTGTCTCTGGCGAATCCTCACACTGCCCCTGCACCTCTGGCCTGTACCCCAGTTCTGTATGCATAAATAAATAAATCTTTTAAAAAAGACTAATGACACAATCACCCCAAGCTTTCTTCAGCAGAAAGAACTTAAGTAGAGGAGGGAACATGAGGACTTAAGGGCAAATATGGAGAGTGCTGGGTAGAAGTTGGGTCAGAAGTTCACCGACCCTCCCAAATAGGGGTGAAAACAAAACAAATAAGGAGTGTCCTCCTAGAGACTGTTGTTAACCAACTTATATTTCGGGATGGTGCACGCAGGAGCACGGTGTGTCCTGTACACAGGCAGAGGTCTGAGCTGGCCCAGCACTCAGAGGCTCAGGGGGTGGGAGGGCGAGGTCAGGAAATTACATTCTTGTGGGCTCCAGGGCTTTCAACAGGCTGTACTGCTCACTACGGGTCTTTGTATTGTTGGTGGTGGATGTAACTCAGCAACGTGGCAGCTGACCCATCCTAATTCCAGGCCTATTTGATTCCCCACAATGTCCTCCATGAGGGCAGGAGGAGAGGAAGACAGGTACCTGTGAGGGAAGGAGGAAATCAGCAGGCTAAAAGTGGAATAATGTTCTCCTCGGGCTAGCTGTTCCTTCTGAAGGTCAATGGAAATAGATGACTTTCATTAAGCCCCCAAGTCCCAAACACACACACCTTGGCAGAAAGGTCCTGTTCTA